CAGTTTTTTTTTTTTTTTTTTTTTCCCAAAAGTATACGCAGTGAACATATATAAGGACTACAGACATAAAGAAGTTATAGTACTTAGCAAAACGTCAAGACCTGGCGTGACAGTTTCTCTTGGTGCCGTGGGCACAGTTGATACCTGCTCAGGGGATCCGCGTCCCCAGGCCTGGAAGAGGCTGCACAGACCAGGGCCACCTGGTCAGCCACATTCCTGGCCCCTCGGCTCTGTGCTGCTTCAGGCCACGCGCATCTCCAGCCCCCAGGAGAAGGGAGTGGAATCCTTCCTCTCTTAGCACGGACAGTGGGTCTTCTCGTAGAGCAAAGGCGGCTCTTAAGAGAATGGTCCAAACACGAGGTTCCCCGGTGAAAGGTTCTCAGCTGTCCCTTAATCTGCTTTCAAAGGCCAAAGAAGCCCAGGATGACCTCGTAAAGACCAAGGAGGAGCTGCACCTGGTGATGACCACGCCCCCGCCGCCTCCGCCCCCGGTGTACGAGCCCGTTAACTACCATGTCCAGGAGAACCCGCAGGAGGAGGGCACGGAGTACACGGGCTACAGCGCCGAGCTGTCCAGTGAGGGCATCCTGGACGACCGCAACGAGGAGAAGCGCGTCACCGAGGCCGAGAAGAACGAGCGCGTGCAGCGGCAGCTGAGGGTGAGCGGGATGCAGGCCGGGCCCCCTTTCCCCTGGGCGGGGGGCGGGGCCTCCAGCTGACCGAGGCTGCTTCGCGTTGCAGACTCTGACCAGCGAGCTGTCCCAGGCCAGAGACGAGAACAAGCGGACCCACAACGACATCATCCACAACGAGAACATGAGGCAAGGCCGGGACAAGTACAAGACGCTGCGTCAGATCCGCCAGGGCAACACCAAGCAGCGCATCGATGAGTTCGAGGCCATGTGAAGGGCGCTGCCGCCCGGGCTCGGTGGAGCGAGGGCTGCTGGCCGACTCTTAACACGTACTTGTATTGATCGTTCTCGAAACCTACAGCCCTCCTCATCCTCCAGGCCCTTTAAAAAGAGTAGTTATTTCAGTGGGAATGTTCTAGGGCTGGGAGTTTACTTTTCCCAACTGTATCATAGTGCCAAACAGGCCTGATTTTTTATTTTTGCTATTATCATTGAATCACTTCCTGTTTTATGCTTGGAGCAGGACTGAATCAGTTAAGATGCCTGTAATGTCTGAATAACTAACTCCGTGCTGGCATGTGTGATACGAGATTCCATGTAATTAAAGCCACATCGTGGCTTCTATTCTGTGCCATACTTTTTTCTATTTGAAATTAGCTGAAATTGATTTCTTCTTGATTTCTGTGAAGGATGCATCTTTGTATATTTGGTTTTTGAAGGATGAAATTTTTGAAAACTCTGAAGCACTCTCACACACACACTTGCACACACGATTTCCTTCCTCCGGGCCTTCAGTTCAGTTGATGAAATCCTGTGATCATTCGATCACTCAGGATAAACAGTGCAGGAGACTGTATTCTTGGATAATTTTTTTTCTTTCCTTTTTTGCTTAACAGCTAGAGGGCTACACTGTTGGACTTACACACCTACATAATGATCAGCTGTAGAGTACAGTATTTATATGTAAGTGATGAGATGGGTTTGTAACATTAGTTTAAAAAAGGGAAAGTTTCATTCTGTATATTTTGTTACCTTTTACAGAATAATAAAAATTACATATTAAAAACCATGTAACCATAGCACTTAATCTGATGTGACCTGAGGGCAGTAATGAAGCTGATTAACTGTTGTAATCTCATCTGGGAAAATGGCTTTTTACTTTTTAAGCGTTCCTTGTGCGTGTAATTGACTGTATGCGCAATTTGAATTTTCTATCAGAGCTACTTGTTTGGAAAATGACTCGCAGGCTGTTCTGATAATTCAGACTCCAGCCGTGAGGGCCCTTCTGACCCGGTCAGCATCTCAGTCCCTCCACAAGCACAACCTGTTCCGACCTCCTCCCCCTCCCGACCACGTCCTTGAAAAGGCGGCAGGTGTCCGCACTCACTCGGTGCCGCTTCTGCTCACTCGCGTCCTGCCTTTCCACGCTCTGCTCGGTCCTTTTTGCTTTCAGATGTCCTGTGAGGATGAACCCAAAGGCCTGCGGGATGCGGCGGCAGGGGTCTCTGGGCAGGTGCTGCTGGAGCAGCCCTTCTCGGACTCAGCACCCGCGCAGCCTGGCAGCCGCGCTGTGTGGGGCTGGGCAGCCCTCGGGTGACCTTAGCGCTGACCCACCGGAAACGGGCATCCCTCAGCACCCCGTGGGGACGGCTGACCTCCTCCGGAAACGGTTTTCCACGGCAGAATGGTAGGAATTGACTACCCACCACGTTCTTCTTTTCCCTTTGAAACGCACATAACAAGGCCATAATTTTTGCTATTTGATAAGCACAGGGAGTCCAGGGTAACTGTTGAATATTTATTGAAATCGGGTCATTTTCCACATCTCTCAAAGCACAGATAACCAACCTGAGACCTAACTAATGTAGCATCGATAATGGTTCCGACTAAATACAGAGGAATGTGGAAGAACGTCTCAGCGGCAGGACGGCTGTAGACGGGGAGAGCTCACACTCCCCAGGGCCCTTCGCCACCCTCCACCCCCACGCCCGCACGCCCAGCCCCGCAGCTGACCATCAGGCCCCGGCACCTGAAACCCCGCTGCGCCCGGAGCCTCCGGTCAGTGCAGGGCGAGGGTCATGTCTGTCCACAGGTTGGGGCTGGAGAGCACTTTCTGCCACTGGAGCTTTGATTGTGAGCACGAGTCTGCGCCACCCGCTGGCTCTTCCTCTGTGAGTGAGCGAAGGGACAGATTAGTGATGGCGGCCAGGGGACACTCACTGCCCTTTCGCAGTTTTAAAAAGGACCAGCAGCAAAGTATACAGTAACTGTTCACCAGAACTTAAGACCATATTAAAATGTGCCCCGCCAGTAAGGAGAGGAGTTCCTTAGAGGAAAGGGTGTTCTTTGGACAGTGTTCCTTTTTAAACAAATTGTAATTTTTAACAGCGAGTCTCGTTTCTCTTCAGTGGTCTCGGAGGCTCTGGGAATGTGTGCGGGTGTTTTGGTTGTGACAGTGTTTAGGGGGCCCTGCTGCCCGCCCCCCCGTGAAAAGCCAGCAGCAGCACTTCTGCTGAGCGACACTGAAAAGCGTTACCCTCTAGTCCCTCTATTAATGAAATACTTTCTGAATTGCCAGTTGTTTGGGTTAAGAAGATATTCTCCTTTAAGAAAATAAGCCTTTTATGATTGACAGGCCAAAAACAAAAGCAAATACTGTACCCAGCCCATTTTGAGACCTTGAATTTTTGTTTCTTTAGCAGAGCTAAATCTCATTTAAATCGTTGAGATGCTTTGCTGTATTACCGCTCAGTTGTAAAGTAAAAGCTAGAACTAAGTAATTTCCACTTATGATGGGTTAGGCAGTTTCACAGCCAGTAAAGTCACCTGCCATCATGGAAACAGTTTTTCTTTTAATGGTATCCATGTAGGTGGGACAGTCACTAAGGATCCCCGATGCAGCTTGGGCCTTATAAATATCTCAGACTTACTGGAACCAAGCCTGGCGCCTCCCAGCAAGCGGTCGTTCACACCGAAGGTGGCCTGGTCCCAAACGGTTAATTCTAGGGTGGACTGCCTCAGCTGAGAAGGGGTGACCCCTTTGAAAATGAAGGAGTGCTCCCACTGGGGACAGGCTTGCTTCTTCAGGACGGGGGACTTCAGTCTCAACCTCTGCTGGTCTGGCAGAGTGAGACAGCTGCACAAGGAAATAGATTCAAACCCTGTTAGCTCTGCCCACCACACGGCCCCCTCCCTCTGTTGGTACCTGCTCATCAGTGAGCCCAAGTGCTCAGAGAAGTGCTAAGCCCACAGCAGAAAAATTGCGAGCAAGGAACGAGAAAGAATTTTGAGATTTGGCTACGTGACCTCTCACACTAGGATGTTCCAAATTTCTCTTCGAGCTGAATTCTGTCCCGAGTACTCTATTAAGGGAACTTTGGGATTCTAGGCCACGTGGCCCTGGTCTTAATCCGCCTCCTTGGTGTGACGACCACCAGGCCAGAGCGAGGCTCGTCAGACCTGCTACCCAGGGACCAGGACTCTGCACACACATCATCTCCTTTAACCCTGCTCTCGGGAAAATAAATGCAGAAGGGCTAAGTCACTTGCTCAAGGCCGTACAGATAAGTAGAAGGAAGGCTTAGGAGGTGAACTCAGTTCTGTGTGGATGAGGTAAGCCATCATTTTTCCATTATGTCACTGACTGGGGATTTACTTATTAATGGTGTTTGCTTTACTTTTGGAGACACCATTACACCCGAAGTGAATAAGAATGAAGCACGCAGTCATCCGTCTTACTGTTAATCCAAGAGGAGATGTTAGCTAAAGAAATATTCACCACCCGCACTGCTCTCCACTCAGTCCCTAGGGCTGATTAACTGATGTCACAAGGACTGACAAGATTTGGGTTTAGTTTAAAATGTGGCATTCCAAAGCCAGCCTCAGCACTCCCAAGTCCCATGAATTCTTGGAAACTCGTCTTTAACATGCATCATGTCAAATTTTCTCAGGAAAGCTAAAATAAGTTTAAAATGGCTGACACGTTTTGGTGTTCCCTTACAGAGACTATGCCATATGTGTGATAGATCATCAATAAATCATATTTGATTAAATGTAATACTTACCCCTTAACAAATGAGTTTAAGGTACCATCTGAGCGCACAGGTAAATTCTTGGCTCCCAGCACTACCAAACAGAGCTGACAGTTACGTGATGGCTCATCTCCCGTCCCTGCAAGGAAAGCTGGCATTCACCGTCAGCACTACTGCGGCCCGCGATGGCACCACCCCAGCCTGGCATTTTAACCAGAGGGTGGGTTGCAGCCCTCAGATCCCGAGAGCTCGCGGGCAGAGGAGCACGTGCACCACTGCACGGGCAGCATGGCGGCAGCGGGGAAGGACTTAAAGTCCAAGGAACTGGAAGCTGCTGAGAGTAACGAGGGACCAAGGAGAGGAGGTGGCAGGGGCGTGAGCCAGCTGTGGCCAGCGGGTTGGGGAAGATCTCTGCTAACGGGGGCTGCCGCGGACCACGGCGGGTGTGCTGCTGGCCTGTGAGCCCGGCAGCAGAACCCCCTCTTCTGGCAGACAGGAAGTCCCGAGTCCCTTCGTGGAACTGCCCCCCCCGTCCTCACTCTCCACCCTCGTCTTTTCCACGGGCCCTACGTTATGAGTCGGTGACATCTCCCGAAGCTCCCTGAGGACCTTGATCCTGCCATGCAGCCGCTGCTCACGTGGCCCAGGAGCAGGGAGCCGGTCACGCGGAGGCTTGCAGGCGCCTGAACCTGGAGTTGGGGACGAGCTCCCGGCCGTCATGCAGGTGGTCAGTCTGCGAGGGGGGGCCCCAGCGGGACTGTCGGCCCAGGCAGGCCAGGCGAGCCGGCGCCCTGGGAGGAAAGCCTCGGGGCAGGTGTCCTAGGAGCCCGTAAAGCAGGCACCACGGGCCTGGCTTTGGTCGCTCCTTTCCCTTCCGAGCTGAGGCTTCCAGAGAACCCACCTCCCGGGCTGGGCTTCGCGGGTTGGGTGGGAGTTATTGGAGCACGTGGGATTGGGGGCGACGGGAGGAAACGCTGGGAAACTGCCCAGGCTCTGAGGACAGTGACAGACGAACGTTTGTGGGGCTGGAGGCCACCCACCTTCTTGAGCCTCCTGGAGCTTTCTGGGCCCTGTGGGGAGGACCAGTTTGGCCCGGACTGCAATTTCTCCGTTATTTGTGGGAACGCGGTCTTCGTCTTTCTCTGCCTGTGCGAAGAGCAGATTCCCCAGAGCCAGAATCTCCTGGGCTTCTCTCACTGCCTCAGTTCTGTCCACGGGCGTCCCCTTCCAACCTCCCCCTGCCAAGCCTCTGTGGGCCTGGGGGAGCCCCGGTGGTGTGGGCACACCTGTGGCAGGGCTGGGCTTCCTTCCGTTTGGGGGCGTTTCACTCCTACCCTCACCAACCCCAGCTCTGCCACCCCGGCAGACGCAGCCCCCCAGAGGCAGATGAGCCGAGGAAGCAGAGGGGCCCCAAGGCCCTGGCGCGTCCCCTTGGGATTGGCCTTAAGGAAGCCTGGACACAACCCGGAGCTGAACAAGTAAAACAAGCCCACGTCGATTCCACCCAGGTTAGTAAAGGTTCGAGCTACCCATCCGTGCCAGGGACTGCGGCAGGCACGGGAAACCGCGGGGTCCGGGGCTCCCCCGTCTGCCGAGTCGGCCCCGCCCACCCCAGAACCCACACTGAGGACGCAGGTGGTTTCTCTGGTCGTGAGAGATTTCTGCCAGAAAGTGAGCAAAGGAGGGTCGTGGAGAGGGTGACCGTGACCTCATCAGCATTTCACCCAGCGGGGTGAGGGTGGGACGCTGGGAAGCGTCTAGATTCGTCCAGTCCCACCGGCAGGGAGGAGCAGGCTCCCCACCTCAGCATCCCCATGGTTCCCTCCTGTCAGGGCTGAAGGGGCAGTGGACCCCCCGCCCCGATCCAGCGTGGCCTGTCACTACCTATTAGGTGGGATTAGGAGGGACACCTTTCAGTCTGGTGATTTCTGTTCCTCGCCTGCTTATCCAAAGTTGACCAGCCTTGGTGGCAGCCTGCCTCGACCCGAGTAAGGGATCCTGGGGGGAGAAGGCGGGAAGGGCCCCTCGAGTGCAGGGGAGACCACATCTGGCAGGGAAAATCAGGAAAGCCTTCATGGAGGAGGTGGGATCTAAGGACCGTCTTGGGCAGACCTTAGACTGCAGAAAACATCCAAGTGGGGCTCTGAAGATGGACTCGGGCTCTGAGAAGAGGAAGCGCAGGGCACGGAGGGGGGTGTGTGCGGACACAGACCCCAGCGAGAAGAGATACAGGAGGCCCCGGGCTTAACCCTGTAGAAACCAGAGATGCTTCTCAGGAGGGGCATCGTGAATCAGAGCCTCCCTGGCTTGGGAGAGGAAAACAGGTAAAATGGCACCGGGGACCCTCGTAAAGAGGGTTAAGAGACCCTCGTAAAGACTCAGCCTCCCCGCCAAGCTTTCACTGGGTGGGACTGCACATCCTGCTGCCATTTCTTAGGAGGTGGCAGAGCCCACATTTTCTCCCCCTTCACAATCTCACATCTTGGATCTTGGCACAGAAATGCACAAAGCAGCCGCCCCGAGAAACGCTACCCTTTCCCCACTGCCTCTCCCTCTCACCTGCGTGGCCACCAGCCAGCTCTGCTCTCCCAGCCTATCTGACACAGAACCCTGGCCCTGCCTTCCTGAGGGCATTGGGTCCAGTCATTCTCACCTGTTACTGTTTGGGGAACGCTGCTTGGTTGGGAGTGAAGATACAATACACGAGAGCCTGCAGTCTAAGGCGGGTCCCACCAGCAGGGCAGCCTGCTGGCCCCAGGTGTAGACTTTGGCCCAAGAAGGTCAAGACCTCCCCCGCTGGCAATAAGTGACCCTGAATTCTGGGAAGCGTGTGGACCCACCAGGCCGGATCCACGCTGATGTTTGGGGCACACTGAGGGTGGGACTATTTGGGACCTTGAACAAACCTGAGCAGGTAAGAGTCCCTCAGCCCAACACCACCCCCGCCCCCCCGGCCCCGCACTCCCCGGGGCCCGGCCGTGAGCCTCTGCTCCCCAGAGGCTCCTACTGCAGAGTCACAGGCTGGCAGGTGTGCACTGGGTCTTGGGTCCCAGGCTCCCCAGATGGGTTTTCTCTCCTTGGATCCCGTTTGAAAAGTGGGTTTGGTTCTCGTGGTGGGATGGGGGTAGGGGCTGCCCAGACATCACCCAAAGCAGACATCACCTTGGCCTGGAGCCGATACCAGCGGGCAGACTGGGTCGTGCGGTCCTCAAAGTCCCACGTGGCCAGAGGGATGATCACTTCTCCAAGAAACACCCTCCGGGCGAGCATGCCCAGGTGCCACACAGACACCCGCAGCTGACGGGTCGCCAGCTGGGTAGGCTCCACCTGGTACTGCGAAGGGGGAACAGAGATGGTCAACCTGGGCACCTGAGCCACAGCTCCCAGGCCCACAGCTCCCAGACAATTTTTAGTCTGTTCCCCTCAATTCTATGGCCCATTTCCAACTCTGCCCCTTGTTCCATACTCTATCTTTAAACTCTAAATTAATCTAGTTATTTCCTTCACGGCTACATGCCCCATCAGTGAAGTCCAGGCCGACAGTGCACCGTGCCGTGTCTGCTCCCTCTCAGAACGAGCTACTTTGCGGAGGGAAGCTGACCGTCCCCGCAGGTCTGCCCTCCGTGGGGCAGCTGCGTGGTCTCTGCACGCTGGGCAGCCCTCCTCCACTCCCTTGGAAACACAGGCCTGCTTCTCTTTGGGTCCTGACTACTTCCTGTGGTTGACTGAATCTGCGTTTTAAAATTAGACCCAGAGGCTTCCCTGGTGGCACAGTGGTTAAGAACCCTCCTGCCAATGCAGGGGACATGGGTTCGAGCCCTGGTCCAGGAAGATCCCACATGCCACGGAGCAACTAAGCCCGTGTGCCACAACTACTGAGCTTGCGCTCTAGAGCCCACAAGCCACAGCTACTGAGCCCATGTGCCACAGCTACTGAAGCCCATGCGCCTAGAGCCTGTGCTCCGCAGCAAGAGAAGCCACCGCAACAAGAAGCCCGTGCACTGCAATGAAGAGTAGCCCCTGTTCGCTGCAACTAGAGAAAGCCCGCGCGCAGCAACAAAGACCCAATGCAGCTAAAAATAATAAAATTAATTTTAAAAAATGTAAAAATAACGTAAGACCTGTTTTCCATTGCCTGTTAGGCCCACAAGGCCGTGCCAGCAGACCCTGGATTGCTAGCTTCCACGGGGTACCAAGTGTAACCGATGCCAGAGAACAAGGATAAGGCGACAGCCAACGTCACCCAGACCTGGTGTCTTGTTTCATCCTTCCCAGGCCCCCCACTGCGTGGTCTTCAAGGGGAGTGCCAGCACCCCTTGGAGTGCAGGAAGTCTCCCCCAGGAGTGTTCTACTTAGAAAACTTGGAGGATCAGTTTCTAGATCAACTTTCACATGCACTTTTCTCAACACTGGTGAAGACAGTTCTCACACCTGGTATCTTACTCCTGTGCCCTGCCCCAGGGGTGCAACCCCAGGGGGAATTTGAAATACTGGTTTCTGCCAAACTGTTAATGATCGCTCAGCTTTTTCATCTTCCCATCTTTTCCATCTTGCATATCCTTCTATGAAGGCTAAGCCTGGGTCTGTGTTGAGATGTTCTACATTTAGAATGAAGACACTGATTCTCTTCAATGTATCTGGAAGGTTTTTCAGGATGTTCACAAAATATTCACAATATACTAGATAAAACCGATGGATAACCAATTGTAGGTGATTCCTCTGAGATTCTGGGTGCATTTTAAATTAGTTAAAACTTTAACAATCAAAGTATATAATGAAGCATTTAAAATAGTCAATCCTCATCTTTGTCTCGTTTCATAAAATAGGAAGCATTTGTCTGCCTCTGTTTAGTACGAAACACCTTAAACCTGTGGTGAGTAATTTTATATATCAGCTTACACCTTTGAGGGGGTACAGCGCTTTTCAAAATTCTGTCAGCAGGTACAGGAACAAAACCACATGAAGACTAGTGTCTAGTAACTCACTACCAGAGTGCCCCAGACAAGCAGCACCTTAGGCCCTGCCCACACTTGCTGAATCACAATCTGCTTTAAGTAAAAAACCCCTTGGGGAGTCCTTATGAACATAAATTTTGTGAAGGAGTGCTAGCCCGTCATGGGTCACAGCTGTACTTTTAAGTACTCTCTAAGCCTCGGTTTCCCTATTGCTAAATGAGGATTCTAACACCTGGCTCAGAGGGTATATAAAAGACTTGGCCACAGCAGGCGTATGGACAACTGGCTATTTTCATGTCTCGATCGGGACTCGTGCCACCTACCCGGATGGCCCCTGGTTGGGAGTTCACAAATGCTCCTATTTGCCAAGGAAGGTAAACAAAAGTCGTCTCCTTTCTCAGGCTTGACACATGGGATCCCCGGGCTACCCAGCCTCGAGTGGGTACATATCTGTGCATCTGGACTATTCTTCCACCTCCCACACCTACCTGCCATCTGCACTCGCCAGACATCACCTCCGACATCACCTCCAATTTTCCATCCTGAATCCCAGCAGGAGGCACTGCCTCCCTGATCTCTGCCCTAAACCACAAGTCACGTTTCTTAGCACCAAAGAAAATGAAAACCCAAACAATTGCTCTAGGCTTTTTTCATAAAATGACTAGTTTTTCATAAAATAAGAAATCTAGGTACTCCAGACATTACCTTCATAAAAGCACGTCCTCATCATAACTCAGCAATTTCATTTACAGGGTCCCTTACTCGTGGATGCCTCTCTGATAGTCATAAAAATTCAACAGGACAAACCAATTTTAGAAATTGAAAGGCAGGCACTTTCTTTTCTACCATTTTCTCGCAAATTATTAATCAAAGGCCATTCTCACGTCCAGCAGACTCTGCAGTTTTTCTGTACAAAGGCTGATATTTAGTTTCTACCACTTGCCACTGACCTGACAGAGCCCTGCAGAAATGTTTAAGTGTCTGCACTTACATTTAACTGACTCAAGAGTTTAGAAGAACCGTCCGCTGGACTCTGGCCCCAGGGGCCCATCCCGGGATGGGGAGACTCAGCACATGAATATTTGTCCAGCAAGTACCTTCAAGATCTCCTGAAAGGTCGGCTCCACCGTGTTCTTTTGGACTCCAGTCTTGCGTTTTCCCTGGGAGGATCTGTCGGGCAGCAGATAGGTCTTTACATACCTAGTGGCCAAACACAGACAGGACAGGGTGAAAAGCTCAGCGTCGGGGGCAGACAAAGGGTTCAGGAGACTCACACGTCAGCGTTTTCCTTACTCTGCTTCCCGCTGCATTTGGGGTTGACAGAAAGGGCTTAGTGGCCGCCACTGACAGTGAACAATGACAGTGCTGGGTGCACAGCCCCTGGCTTACACAGTCTCTGGCTGTGATCCTCGGGAATGTTCCTGGGTGTGTGAAGCTCCCCCACTTTCCTCATGCCCTACTCCTGGAATCTACGCATCACACTCCATCACCTGTCACTGGGTGACGGCCAGGGAACCAGAGGCTCCCAGGGCTCTGTGGGTGGCAGATTTCTAACCCACCTGGATGCCGAGGCTGTGTGCCAGCTTGTCCTCCCTCCACGTACCTCGTCTCCCCAACCCGCAAAAAAAAACAGTTGAGATGGAAAGTGTATGTCTCACACTTTGGTTTTCCTTGTGTGGCCTCAAACACTGAGTCCTGCCTGCTGAGGACCGGTGTTCCCGAGCCCTTGCCCTGGGTCTGGAGACCACACCAGCAGAGGAAGCCTGACCAAGGCCAGCCCCGCACTGCTCCCTGCCCACTCCATGAAGCTCCGTCCCAGGCCGGTCCCTCCACTCAGGTCCCAAGACTGCCCTTCCTGGCTCTTCCAGCAGCTTTATTGATGCAGTGACACCACTTGCCCAGGTCCTGTACCCACAGGCTAGAAACAGTCTCAACTTTCTCAAAGCAATAAAGAGCAGGAACCCCCGCCTCGACCTGGGTTCCCCCTGGAGTCCCAGTCTCAGGCCTCTTCCCCGCTTTCAGCAAACTTCTTGGAAAAGTACTCAAGGCTCATTGGCACCAATACCTCACTGTTCGTTGACTCTTAAATTGTTGATCATTACAAGACCCCTCACACATGTAAAACAGGAGATATAAAATATACCTGTATAGCTTAAAGCATTACAATAAAATACACGCCCATGTGTCTAGTCGTTAAGGCCTCTATTTCCTTTCTTACCCTCTGTCTGGATGTCCTATCCGTTACCAAGAGCGGAGTATTGACGTTTTCCAACTATTACTGCAGAACTATTTCTCCCTTCAATATCCCTTCTTGTATCTGATGGTCTGTTATTAGGTACACAGACATTTGTAATTGTTATATCATCTTGCTGTACCGAACCTGTTAATATAGAATGTCCTTATCTTTTGTAAGCTTTTCTGACTTAAAGCCTATTTTGCCTGATACTGGTACAGCCACCTTGCTCACTCTTGGTTACCATCTGCATGGAATATCTTCCACTTGTGTCTTTGGATCTCAAGTGAGTCTCTCGTAGATGGCATATAGTTGGATCTCATGTTTTTATCCATTCTGCCAATTTCTGTCTTTTGACTGGAGAGTCAAGTTCATTTGTATTTAAATTACTGATAAGAAGTACTTCTGTCATTTGCTGTTTCTTTTGCCTTATAGCTTTTCTGTCCCTCACTTTCTGTTTTTTTTTTTTTTTTTTTTTTTTTTTTTTTTTTTTTTTGCGGTATGCAGGCCTCTCACTGTTGTGGCCTCTCCCGTTGCGGGGCACAGGCTCCGGACGCGCAGGCTCAGCGGCCATGGCTCACGGGCCCAGCCGCTCCGCGGCATGTGGGATCTTCCCAGACCGGGGCACAACCCGTGTCCCCTGCACTGGCAGGCAGACTCTCAACCACTGCGCCACCAGGGAAGCCCTTTACTGTATTCTTTTGTGTTTAGTTGATTTTCTGTGGTGAAATGTTTAAATTCCTTTCTCATTTGTTTTGTTTTGGTTTTTGTTCTATAGCTGTTTTCTCTGTGGTTACCAAGGGGATTACATTTAATATCCTAAAGTTATAACACTCTAATTTGAATTTATACCAACTTAACCTCAGTAACATACAAGAGCTCTACTTCTCAGCTCCATCCTCACCTCTTTCCACTGATGATGTCACAAAAATACATCTGTATATATGTGTGACCAAAAACACAAAGTTAGAATTCTTTTAAATGCATTAGTCTCTTAAATTATCTCAAAAACAAAGTGTGGAGTTACAAACCAAAATGACAATAAGAGACCAATAATCTTTTAAAATGTCCGAAGTCATATACAAAACAAAAAGTAACCACTATTACAATAATACTTGCTTTTTTTTTTTTTTTTTTTTTTTTTTTTTTTTTACTCATGTGCTACCTCTCTCAGGTATCTGAGCTGAGCACGGGATGAGGCCTGTGGAGGAGGAGAGAGGGGGTAGAGAGGGAGAAGGACAAGGGGCTTGAAGCTAGTTAGGAACCTAGCTATGGGGTGGGGGGAGTGGGAAGGAGTCACTATTATTTAGACTGATTTCTGCATATTGACACCTGAAGGCTCTAAATCCCCAAATTCCCAATGTGGCAGCTTCTCTACTGTCCTCACACAACCTGTATCTTGGGTCCCTGCAGAAATACCCAGTGAAGTATGGATCAGAGAGCTGTCAGACTGACAATGGCCCAGCTATTCCTCTGGTCTATGACTTTGGTGATGCTGAGAAAACTGCACCTTATTACTCACCAGTTGGTCAGCGTGAGTATCTGTTTCCAAAGCCCAGTCATCAATCCTTCCCTGCACTCTTGGAGAAAGTGTAAATAACAACAATTAACAATTGCTAGCATTTGTTGAACATGTACAATGTGCCAAACTCTTTTCTAGGAACTTGACATGGTTTTGTGTCATTTAATCATCATTAGAACACTATGAAGTTAGAATTACTATCCTCTCCAATTTATAGGATATAAACCCAGGCTTCTTAACCAATACCCTGTATGGCTCTTAAAATAGTAAAAACTAGGCTAATGTTCACAGGTGAGAACAACTTGCAAAGTGGCGAGAGAAATTTATTTTTGTTATGATGGATAGCTATGATTTTAAAGAAGGTATTTTTTCAGCATAATAAAGCCACAGAATTTAAGTCTTTGGTGGGAAAACAAGAGCCATTACTTTTTCTTTTTTTTTTGCGGTACGTGGGCCTCTCACTGTTGTGGCTTCTCCTGTTGCGAAGCACAGGCTCTGGACGCGCAGATTCAGCGGCCATGGTTCACGGGCCCAGCCGCTCCGCGGCATGTGGGGTCTTCCCGGACCGGGGCACGAACCCGTGTCCCCTGCATCGGCAGGCGGACTCTCAACCACTGCGCCACCAGGGAAGCCCAATACTTGCTTTTATAATTGCTAGTGTATTTGCCTTTATTGAGATCTTTATTTTTTCATATGTCTTAAGTTACCGTCTAGTGTCATTTCATACACTCTCTCACATTTTGTCTAGCTGAGGATGTTGTAATTTCTCCCTCACATTTGAGGAACAGTTGTGCTGTGATTTTTTGTTTGTTTTTCCTTTTAGCACCTTGAATATACTGACTCACTGCCTTCTGGCCTCTAAAGTTTCTGATGGGAAATCTGCTGATAATCTTATTGAGGATCCCTAGTACATGACGATTCACTTTCTTGCTGCTTTCAAGATTCTTTAGTCTTTGTCTTTCAAATGTTGGTTTATAATGTGTCTCAGTGTGGGTGTCTTTGAGTTCATCATACTTGGAGTTCAAAGAGCTTCTTTGATGTTTATATTCATGTCTTCCATCAAACTGGGGTACTTTTCAGCCATTATTTCTTCGAGTATTCGCTCTGCCCCTTGCTGTCTCTCTTCTCCTTCTGGGACACGTGTTGCTTATGTTGGTCCACTCAATGGTGTCCAGAAGGTCCTTTAGGTTTTGTTTGCTTTTAATCTTTTTTCTTTCTGTTCCTCAGACTCAGTAATTTCCATCATCCTATCTTCAAGTTCACCTATTCTTTTATTTTTTATTTATTTATGGCTGCGTTGGTCTTCGTTGCTGCGCGTGGGCTTTTCTCTAGTTGCGATGAGTGGGGGCTACTCTTCATTGCAGTGCGAGGGCTTCTCATCGCGTTGGCTTCTCTTGTTACGGAGCATGGGCTCTGGGTGCATGGGCTTCAGTAGTTGTGGCACATGGGCTTAGTTGCTCTGCGGCATGTGGGATCTTCCCGGACCAGAGCTCGAACCCGTGTCCCCTGCGTTGGCAGGTGGATTCTTAAACACTGCGCCACCAGGGAAGCCCACCTATTCTTTTACCTGCTCATACCTACCTTTGAATCCCTCTAATAAATATTTTGTTGTTAAGGTTTTCTATCTCTTTATTGATATTTCTGTTTTGTTCATACATCATTTTCTTGACCTTCTCCACACCTTTCATTAGTTCTTTGAGCATCCTTAAAACAGTTGTTTTCAAGTCTTTGTCTAGTAAACCTACCATCAGATCTCTTTCAGGGACAGTTTCTGTTGATTTATTTTTTCCCTGTGAATGAGGCATACTTTCCTGTTTCCTTATATGCCTTGTGATTTTTTTTGTTGAACACTGGACATGTGTCTAATAATATGTTAACTCTGGAAATCCGATTCTCCCCCTTCCCCAGGGTTTGCTGTATTTTGTTATTGGTTTTTTAATTGGGTTTTTCATAAATTTATTGATGCAGACTGTCTCTGTGCCAAGGATCAGCCCGAAGTGTAAAATTAAGATCTTCTCAGATCTTTTCTGAACCTAAACCTTTCCCTGAGCATGTGTGGTCCCTTTTTAATTTTCCTTGTATATACAGTTACTCTTGAATGTCCTGGTCTTTAGTATCCAGTTCCCAATAAGGGAAAAAAGAGAAAAATGAAGAAGGGAGACAAATAAGGGCACTGGCCCTTTAAATACTTTGTAACTCACTTCAGCCCAAGGAGGGGACTGCAACAATGGGGGGAGGTGAAACAACATGGCTGCCTGCCTTTTTTTTTTGTACCTCTGCAATCAGAACCAGCAGTCGGAGAACAGGTCCCTGATATTTGGAGGACAGGATCCTTTGCCCATCTGGCTCCTACAAGCTGTGTTCAAGCTGCTCTAGGAACATATGCACAGCTGCCCACCAAGGGCTTGGGCATAGGGAGGATGGGTAGTTAACACTGTGCTAAGAGCTGGAATTGACTGACATTAATTTCAATTTACCATCCAAGACTTCCCCTAGGAAGTTGAAAGCCTTCAAAAGACTCCAGAATTCCAAAATAGTTCCATCAGACAGATTCTGCCAGTGCAGCTGTCTACAGGGGGAGATGGATTCCTGAGGCCTCCTACTCTGCCATCTTTCAGAATCCTCTCTTGACCATGTGTTTCCTTTACAAAGTATTGAGTTTTGTCCTAGCAGGCATTTCACTTACTGGAAACTCAGTTTGATCCTATCAAGCATTGATTTTGCTTAGTTAGGGTGTGTTAGAGAAGCCCTACTACTAAGCTTTTCTGGGGTCCACTCAATGCCCCACTCCACTTTGACTGGTCAGAACGCCAATCTTGGGACTTCCCTGGTGGCACAGTGGTTAAGAATCCACCTGCCAATGCAGGGGACATGGGTTCGATCCCTGGTCTGGGAAGATCCCACATGCCACGGAGCAACAAAGCCCGTGCACCACAACTACTGAGCCTGTGCTCTAAAGCCCGTGAGCCACAACTGCTGAGCCCATGCACCACAACTACTGAGGCCACACACTACAACTACTGAAGCCCGCGTGCCTAGAGCCCATAGTCCACAACGAGAAGCCACTGCAGTGAGAAGCTCATACACAACAAAGAGTAGCCCCCACTTGCCCCAACTAGAGAAAGCCCACGTGCAGTAATGAAGACCCAACACAGCCAAAAATAAAATTTAAAAACAAAAAAACACACCAATCTTTCCCAGCACTGTGCAACTCCCAGATTTTTCATTCAACTTACCACCCTCCAGTAGCTATCCTCTGACAGACCTCATGAAATCTTGTCCTGTATCTGAACAGCTTAGTATTTGGCCAAAGCCTCAAGAGATCCCTATGTGGATTTTAGGCCTACTTCTCTATGCACTTCCCACCTCATCTGCTTAAGAATAATATTTGTTGAATGTTTATTATGTTCTCAACACTGTTCTGAAGACTTAATACGGGCTAGTTCAGGGCAACACCACAACAATCCTTTGAAGTAGGTGCTAATATAACCTCCACGTTACAGTGAGGACACCAAGATATGGAGAGGTTGAATAACTTATCAGAGGTCAAACCCTGTAGAGAATTATGGGAGAGACTCAACATGCTTGGAAGGTCAAGGATTGAATAAATGGAGCTGATGGGATTGGAAATGAGTCTGAAGAATGGACAGGATTGCGATTTCCACTTATGGGAGTAGCATAGGGGAAACAGTCTCAGAACAAACATGAGAAAAGCCTCATATTTGGTAAAAGTCAGGGGATCGTTTTGGAACAGTGACTATTCCAATTTCTCCAGAGCAGAAGGTACAGATAGGGGAATAAAAGATGACTAGAAATATAGGAGGAATCTGTTATGGAGAACCGTAGGTGCTATAGTGATGCACCTAATTTGTCTGGCACTGAGGAGCTACTGAAGACTTCAGAGCAGAGGAAAGTTTGACTGGACCAACAATCCATTCCTTTCGCCTAGCTGGTGCTGAAAACAGTGTGCTAAAAATGTTCCATGGTGGGGGGGAAAAAAGGCCAAAATGTGGTCCGTACCTTAAACCATGCACAGAAAATCAGTTCCAGCTCTAATATGAAAGGATCTAAGTGGGAAAAAATTCTAATAGAAGAAAACAGAGAAGAATGTATTTATAACCTTCAGGTGGAATTCTCCTACACACTCAAATAGCAGACATTTTAAAGGAAAAGAAGAATAAATTGGACATTAAATTCTTTATAAGAAAAGTCATCATAAACAATGTCAGAAAACAAGTAAAGCTAAGAGAAAACATGTGCAATATGTAGAACCAATGGAGAATTGTCTTGAAAATGGAGTTTTAAAAAGCCAGACTCCTGGGCTTCCCTGGTGGCGCAGTGGTTGAGAGTCCGCCTGCCGATGCAGGGGACGCGGGTTCGTGCCCCGGTCTGGGAGGATCCCACATGCCGCGGAGCGGCTGGGCCCGTGAGCCATGGCCGCTGAGCCTGCGCGTCTGGAGCCTGTGCTCCGCAACGGGAGAGGCCACACAGTGAGAGGCCCACGTACTGCAAAAAAAAAAAAAAAAAAAAAAGCCAAACTCCTGTAAATAAAATTTTAAATGACAAACAATTCGACAGAAAATTGGACAAAAGATATGAAATGGGGAGTCCATAGAAGGGGAGTGTATTTTAAGTGATTCATATATATAAGGTTGCTCATCTTTGTTATTAATCAGTGAGATGCGTGTTAAAATAATGAGACATCATTTCATATTTAACAACTGGAAAAAAATTAATCTCTTTATGGATTGTGTGAGACAGGATTTTTATTTTTCCTACACAGAAAATCAAATTTCCCAGCACCCTTTATTGAAGTTCATCTTTTCTGCATTGATTATTAATAGCCTCTTGATCATTTAAGTTCCCATGTATGCTAAGATTGTATTTGGACTTTTGATTCTGCTCTATTGACCTCCTTGTCTATCCTTGCATCCATAACACATTGTTGGAATTACTTTTTTTTTTTTTAACTTTTATTTATTTATTTATTTTTGGCTGTGTTGGGTCTTCACTGCTGCACGTGGGCTTTCTCTAGTTGGGGTGAGTGGGGGCTACTCTTTGTTGCGGTGAGCGGGCTTCTCATTGATTGCAGCGGCTTCTCTTGTTGTGGAGCACAGGCTCTAGGCACGCGGGCTTCAGTAGTTGCGGTACGTGGGCTCAGTAGTTGTGGCTCATGGGCTCTAAAGCACAGGCTCAGTAGTTGTGGCGCACGAGCTTAGTTGCTCTGCGGCATGTGGGATCTTCCCGGGCCAGGGATCGAACCTGTGTCCCCTGCATTGGCAGGCGGATTCTCAACCACTGCACCACTGGGGAAACCCTGAATTACTAAGCTTTATGATAATTCTTAACATGTCTTTTTGTTTTTATTTATTTATATATATTTTTTACAATTACCTTGGTTATTCTTGGACTTTCACTTTTCCATATGAACTTTAGAATCAATATGTCTATCATCATATGCCAAAACCTAGACAAAGAAACTTACGGATTGCACTTTTTCTTCTTTTCCTCCCCATAGGCAAGGTTCTTACAGGCCTTGATGCATATTTCTAAAGAATGAGTTCTGAAGCAGTAGCGAATGGCAAGTTCTATCTCTCCAGTGACATCTGCGTTGTCAAAATTGCCCATCTCTGTACAAGTGCTGTTAATGCTAATTAAACTTCCCTGAAATCAAGAATGACAGATATAATGTTACTTCACAGTTAATCAATTTTTTTGCAGTTCTGGTTTCAAGATAGCAAATAAATCAAAATTTATACAGAGCATGCGTCCTGACTCATGGTAAGTTAATAACACACCAGCCAGCTTGTACTCTGCAAAATAAGTTGCCACATACTCTGTCTTAAGGAGACGAGGAGTCCTCAGAAGGGCCTGTCTTGCCCAGATACGGTGTTTGCCTAGCAGTACGGGTCGCGCAGTCTCATTCTTGAACACAGACCACTTGGGAAGCAGAGGACTATCTCCCGTGCAGTTGTGCAAAGCTAAATCTCCAAGGGCGGATAATAACCCCACGGCAGGAAGAGCCCTGGGGAGAGCAGCGCGGTGCCGGGGGCCGAATGACCGGGATCAGAGGGTGCTGGACTCAGAGTCCAAGTGGGAAAATCAATCCTGTTCTCACTGTGTTACGGTGAGGCGTACATGGACGACAGTACGTACAATATGCAAAGACAACAATAAATTGTGCTTAAATTTTTAATGGGTCCCCAGAATGACCAACAAAACTACCATCGTAAGTTAGGGCACCCTAAGCTGAGGTGATGTGAAGAACTAATGCAAGTGACAGAACAAACCGCCTCATCACTGTTAAATTTGCTTAGGAATTTGCCACCCTGTGCAGGCAACCAATCTCAGTGACGACTCTATAGACAGAGGGAACCCCACGTGATTCCCACTTTCCCAACTGGTTGCTCAACACCGTAAAACATCCTGGAAACAAGCTAAGAAGAAAGCGCGAGTCTCTCTCACTAGAGAGACATCAAAACAAAACCAACAACTTAGAGGGCCCCGAACCTGAACTAGCTCATGCCAAGAACCCAACCACCTTCACCACACCCAGTCACCGGCCCTGAAAAATGTTATCCACCAACAACACCCATGCAACTGTTGGGAGGGGAAACAGTTTTTAAATTTCACACACCCGGAAAGGCGTGGAGTGGTGAGACCGCACGAAAAGAGGGCAGACAGAAGGTGATGGACGGGGAGGGAGGCTTGGCAAGAGATGTGAGCTGCTTAAGAAAAGCTGAAGGTAGGTGTTAAAAGTCCTGATAGTTAACCCGCACTCATCACGGGACTCCACCCCACGCTACGGCCGACTAAACTGTACTACACCAACTCTCCTGCCAAGAACAAGCAGAAAACTGACTTGAACGACAAGCAGTTTGAAGGCACTATAGAGCTACCGGGACAGCCAGGGTGCCAGGGCCCACCATACTGAAGAGGCGTGCAGTCAGGTGAGCCTGACGTCCTGGCTGTGTTTCCCTCTGAGGCATCTGTCGGCAGGTGAGCAGTACAGGCGGAAAGGCTGTGAGGCTCCGGAGCTGGGCAGAGTGACCAACCCAAGTGCTGGGGGCTGTGAAGGAGTACAGAACTTGAGGAGAAAAGGGAGACGCACTAGTTGAGAGTGATGCTCAAGGCTGCTGTTCCCCTCAAGGTCATTGCTGAGTTGGAAGCCGATGCTAAGAGGCTGAGTAGTTTAAAAACACCTTTGGAAGTTTCACCTTACTAGAGAGAAGAAACGAGTTCAGGCCCACCACAGAGGAGGAGCCTGGTAAAAGTCCAGACCCTCAGCTGAGACCTCTCAAAGGCTTTCCTCCTGGGAGTCCGAGTGCCCTGGAAGCAGACCAGTCCTCCCAGAGGCTGAAACTCAGCTCTGAATGAGCTCAGTACCGGATGGGCAAAGACTCCTGGCCTCCACCCTGGTGGTGCGCTGGAGCAAAAGCAAGTCTCCCTGAAGGACGGTCACATCCATCTCTCCCATTCGGCTGGAGCTCGAGGACAGCAGGGACCCTGCACGTTTCTGCCCTCTATCAAATCTCCAGCACCAGCTCAGTGCCTGGTTCATGGTAAATCCTGAAGAAATATTTATGAAATGAATAAAGAAAGTGCATGAAGTATTTTCATTTAAAAAGTTGTCTCTGGGCCTTCCCTGGTGGCACAGTGGTTGGGAGTCCACCTGCTGATGCAGGGGACGCGGGTTCTTGCCCCAGTCTGGGAAGATCCCACATGCCGCGGAGCGGTTGGGCCCGTGAGCCATGGCCACTGAGCCTGCGTGTCCGGAGCCTGTGCTCCGCAGCGGGAGAGGCCACAACAGTGGGAGGCCTGCGTACAGGAAAAAAAAAAAAAAAAGAAAAAAAATTGTCTCTGTAAATATTATGGCACGATGTGCTGTGTCCTTGTCCTGAAGGAGCAGCAGACTTGAGGTGAGAAGACTCGAGTGATAGTCCTGACCCTGGATGACTTTAGTTACATCCCTTAACTGCAGATTCCAGAGGGAAAATATTTTAAAATAAAACTACATGGGGACATCCCTGGTGGTCCAGTGGTTAAGACTCCGCACTGCCAATGCAGGTGACCCGGGTTAGATCCCTGGTCTGGGAACTAAGTCCCACATGCTGTGTGGCTCAGCCTAAAGATTTTTAAAAAAACAAAAACAAAAAAAGCAAAAAAAACCTATATGTAGGCACATCTTAATAAAATTGCTGAGAATCCAGGACAAAGAGAAAGCTTAAAAGCAAAGGCAAAAAAGCTATGTTAACTTCCATGGAAGAAACAATAAGGGCAGGAGAGGGTGGGGTGCAAGCATTGCTGGGGAGACCGGCATCTTCTGTTTGGGTGGGGAAGGAGAGTCGTGTGGGTGCAAACTCGAAGAGGTTAACTTCAGTATCAGGAGGATTAGGGAACTCCAGGCTTGCTTTTTTTTTTTTTTTTTTTTTTTTTTAAGAAGTGGGAAGGGAGATTTATTCGTTAAGAATGAGGAAGAAATGCGGGGAGAAGTTTTGAAAAGAGGTTTAAAACGAGCGAAGGTGTGAAAATGATTGTTGTGAGAGCAGAAACCTGAGTTGCCCAGAGAAACACATCAGGATGGCTGGCACTGTGCGTGCATTTGGAGCTGGTGACACAACAGGGCAGACCTAATCCCACGCACTCACACTGGGCATTAGGTCTGCCCTACTGTGTGCACAGCTGTTCAGGTGCAGGTACAGAGAAGGTGCACAGCTGGCTCATCTAGCTTGGCGTCCAGAATTAGAAAGCATGCAGGAAGCACTAAAAGTACTCATCATTCATTTTATAAGATAAGCAGAGGTCAAGACAGGTTGAGAACACATTCACAGTAGGGGACATTAACACCCCACTTTCACCAATGGACAGATCATCCAAAATGAAAATAAATAAGGAAACACAAGCTTTAAATGACACATTAAACATGATGGACTTAACTAATATTGACAGGACATTCCATCCAAAAACAACAGAATACACTTTCTTCTCAAGTGCTCTTGGTACATTCTCCAGGATAGAGCATATCTTGGGTCACAAATCAAGCCTTGGTAAATTTAAGAAATTGAAATTGTATGAAGTATCTTTTCCAATCACAACGCTATGAGACTAGATATCAATTACAGGAAAAAAAATTGTAAAAAATACAAATACATGGAGGCTAAACAATATACTACTTAATAACCAAGAGATCACTGAAGAAATCAAAGAGGAAATCAAAAAATACCTAGAAACAAATGACAATGAAAACACGATGACCCAAAACCTATGGGATGCAGTAAAAGCAGTTCTAAGAGGGAAGTTTACAGCAATACAATCCTACCTCAAGAAACAAGACATACCTCAAATAAACAACCTAAACTTACACACCTAAGCAATTAGAGAAAGAACAAAAAACCCAAAGTTAGCAGAAGGAAAGAAATCATAAAGATCAGATCAGAAAGAAATGAAAAAGAAATGAAGGAAAGGATAGCAAAGATCAATAAAACTAAAAGCTGGTTCTTTGAGAAGACAAACAAAATTGATAAACCATTAGCCAGACTCATCAAGAAGAAAAGGGAGAAGACTGAAATAATAGAACTAGAAATGAAAAACGAGAAGTAACAACTGACACTGCAGACATACAAAGGATCACTGGAGATTACTAGAAGCAACTATATGCCAATAAAATGGAACAACCTGGAAGAAATGGACACATTCTTTGAAAAGCACAACGTTCTGAGACAGAACCAGGAAGAAATAGAAAACATAAACTGACCAATCACAAGCACTGAAATTGAGACTGTGATTAAAAATCTTCCAACAAACAAAAGCCCAGGCCCAGATGGCTTCACAGGTGAATTCTACCAAACATTTAGAGAAGAGCTAACACCTACCCTTCTCAAACCTTTCCACAATATAGCAGAGGGAGGAACACTCCCAAACTCATTCTACGAGGCCACCATCACCCTGATACCAAAACCACACAAAGATGTCACAAAGAAAGAAAACTACAGGCCCATATCACTGATGAACATAGAAGCAAAAATCCTCAACAAAGTACTAGCAAACTGAACGAAACAGCACATTAAAAGGATCATACACCCTGATCAAGTGGGGTTTATCCCAGGAATGCAAGGATTCTTCAATATACACAAATCAATCAATGTGATACACCATACTAACAAACTGAAGGAGAAAAACCACATGATCATTTCAATAGATGCAGAAAAGGCTTTCGACAAAATTCAACACCCATTTATGATAAAAAACCCTCCAGAAAGAAGGCATAGAGGGAACTTAACATAATAAAGGCCATGTATGACAAACCCACAGCCATTGTTCTCAATGGTGAAAAACTGAAACCATTTCCACTAAGATCAGGAAAAAGACAAGGATGTCCTCTCTCACCACTATTATTCAACATAGTTTTGGAAGTTTTAGCCACAGCAATCAGAGAAAAAAAAGAAATAAAAGGAATCCAAATTGGAAAAAAAGAAGTAAAGCTGTCACTGTTTGCAGATGACATGATACTATATAAAAAGAGAATCCTAAAAATGCCACCAGAAAACTACTAGAGCTAATCAATGAATTTGGTAAAGTAGCAGGATACAAAATTAGTGCACAGAAATCTCTTGCATTCCTATACACTAATGATGAAAAATCTGAAAGAGAAATTAAGGAAAAAC